GTGTTTCTTGGAGGTTATAGTACATTGAAGAATGATCATATGACTTTTTACATACGCCATGTGACCTGTAAATGCGAAAAAGCCGTTTCCATTGCAGTTTTGCGAATTATTCCTTTTTCGCATTGCCTGAAAAACCACCTCATGCGAGCGTAAAAACTTTTTTGCGATATATGGCCGCTTTTGCGAAATTGACGCGTTTCCATTAGGCGTATTTTCAATTTCAATTTGCGCAATTTGAAGGGTAATGGAAACGTGCCTAGTGAGCTTAAACCGAGTGAATTGTACTGACCAATCACGTAGTCAAGCGAGCTGACGCCAGACGATACTAAGAGCTGTCCGTTCTGTACAGACGGTCGTGTACCAAGGATAGAAACTAGTTTTCTTCGGGTTTTTTTCTGAAAACTAGTTGCGTTGCCTATGCTGGTGGATCCAGCCATGCCGCTCACGGGAGCCGCCATGTTTTTCTGGTGTTGACAGCAACGCCGGTGACGCTACAGCCAATCAGCGACTGAATTGCTCTTTTCTTAGCCAATCAGAAGGAGACTTGTTCAAAGACGATGATGCAATGAAGTTCAAGGTTGACTGCGCCTGCGTAGTGAACGTGTGATCAAGATATACAAACAGCAAGCTTTCAGTGGACATGAATCAGGTAGGATTATTGTACAAATTACTGTATCGTTTATTATAATTCCATCACGTGACATTCCTGCAGTAGATCATGTATGCACATCCTGCTATCGATGTTGAAACTGACCCACCTGAGCCATAATAACACTAAAATCATGATGCCCTTGTACTTTAGACAAGACTTAGGAAATGTAGTGAACAGATCAGAGCTTCTTTCATAACCACATTGTAAATACTGAAGCTGTCATTTTAATCGTGTTATTTTTTTAAAGATTAATACATAATCTAGTAAAGATAGTTTACCAGATTCTAGTAAAGACATTTACAATGTTACAAAAGATGTGTATTTGAAACAAATGCTGTTTGTTTTGACCTTTCTATTCGTCAAAGAAGCCTGAAAAAAAAATTATGTTTGTATATTTTAATAAGTATAGGTCAGAATAAGCATGTTGTTTCATTTTTACATAAAAACATCTGTTATGCTGAATGACACAATGGAACATTATTTCACCCATATTTTGACATTTTATTTTCACAGAAGTTATTTGAAACATTAAAGTAGACATTTTTGCATTTAATATGCATTCTGTGTTATAAATATTTAGTCAATTTAATTTGATGCGGCCACCAAAATGGGACGTCTCGTCTTTGACCCATACCAATTTCCTTATTACTGACTGTGGTAGTTTCTCACATAATAAAACATATGTAAATCAGTTTTTAGCATATATTTACAGACTTGTAATTAATTTATAGGTGGATAATGTGTCCTTTCGTATAAGTGAGTGTCAGCTGAGTCTTATCTCTGATAGTTTTGGCCATTCAGAAACTTTTTTTTTTTTCGTTTCTGTACAAAAAATAATTCTAGATATCCTCTAGACAGGTCCCTTTATTGTTGAGGTGCTCTTTTTAGTTTGTCCAAATGCTGGTATCTCTTATGTTATTTTTATGATGTCAGCTTTATCAGCTCATATTGTTCCACACAGTGCTAATACTAACAGTCATAACATGTCAAATGTTTCCTGAGCAGCTTGCTTGGGTTTCCCCAATGTGATTCTCTCTGCTACCACAATCTGAGGTTAAGAATATAGTGGCGTTGCTCAGAAGGGAAGTTAGATTGTCATCTGCGGAAGGTTTGTTTGCGTTAGTGTTGAAAGGAAAGTAATAATCTTGGATGCCAGCACAATTATAGGGCTGTGGTTACTATTATTTGTGACCCACAGGAAGGTCATTTTACGCTCTGCTCTGAAAACTGCATTAATCTGTATTTTTTTCCTATATGAATTCAAAGATATCTATAACGTAAAAACAAAGCAGGCTAATTTGAAAGAAATCGGTGCTAGGGATGGGCATTTAGTGAATAGAGAATTGTAAGATTTCTCTTTTAGCCAAAACAGAAGGCCTATCTTGGGACATCCGATAAGATCTGTTTGCCTTTCAGCTCCCTCTTGGGTTCAGACTGCAGTCAAAGTTCATTTCAATAAAGATTAGTCTATTTATGTCACGTCATTGTTACAGAACTAGCTCAGCATCCCTTGAAATCGCTTCGCTTTTGTTCATATTTATGGGGATTGACTCTGTAATTGGCTTTAGTCATTATCTGCCTTTTAAAATTCATTTGATTTCCATTAGACTGTTGTAAAAATCAAGTGATGGAGAAAGGCATCCTTTATGTCATGCATGCAGACATCTGTCCTCCATCAACCAACCAGGTGCCAGCCTCGTTTTGATAGCTGCGCTGATAGCCTCCCGATTACCAAATCTCTAGGTTCTCCGATCCCTTTCACTGGACATGAAGGACCAATGAGAACAAAGAGAGCAATACGAGGCCACCCTCAGGCCTCAGCTGCCTTCTGCCACACAGATCGAGAACATCAGAGAGGTCCCCCCTCCTCATCTTCCTTCCATCTGGGTTCTCGGGGGAACGCCGTCTTAGTTAACACTATTCGAATCTATGTAATCTTCTTAAGTCCCGCAGAAGCTCCCAAAGTCGAGCTCCTCATGTATGTCTGAATTCAGATGGGCTGTGATAAGAAGCTCTGAAGCAGCCCTTGGGATTGAGTTCCTGTCTTTTTGCTCAGGGTATTTTAAAATTTCAAATATTTAAAAGTTTACACATAATTTAAGATTTTTTTTATTGCCTCTCTAAATCCCAGAAGGGGATTCAGAAACTGAAAAAACAAAACAAACAAAAATATTTTATAGTACAGTATATATGCAACTAGTCAAAAGTTGAAATAAGATTTTTTCATGTTTTCGAAAATCAGCATATTAGAATGATTTCTGAAGGATCATGTGACACTGAAGACTGGAGAAATGGTGATGAAAATTCAACTTTGCCATCACAGGAATAAATTAAATTTTAAAATATATTAAAATAAAAAAGAGTTGTATTAAATTGTAATTATATTTCACAATATTGCTCTTTTTATTGTATTTTTGATCAAAAAATTGCAGCCTTGGTGTAAGAATGTAAGAAACTCCTTTCAAAGACATACAAAAAAAATATTATTCCAATCTTTTGACCGGTAGTGTATTATAAATTAGTATATATTTTTTTTCAATACAATATATTTATTGTTTTCTTAACCATTTTTTTTTTTTTTTTTTTACTAATTTTCATTCTGAATGTCCGGCAATCATGAACAATGGTGCTCAGAATTACAGCCTGCTTTCCAGTGTCACCTGGGCTGCTGTTTATTTTCTTTGCTATTTCAGGAGGTCAGTGGAGTGTTCGCACATTAGATGGTGGCATGGAGTCACTGTGACCTTTACACAAGTGTGACACCAGTCTCAATGCCTGAATTGCTGTTTGCACGCTTTGCTTTGTATACCAGGTGTTTGCAGTATATATTTAATTGTAACGGACTCTTAAAGGGATATCTATGTATTTTACTGCAATATTTGAAACTATTTTTGACTGGTGTTAAAAAATATATATATATTTTTTTAAATGAATTGTATTAGGGCTGCACGATAAATCGGAATGGAATCGAGATCGCGATTCGACAGAAGCTGCGATTGTCATGCGTATCTTTCAGTGAAGCACGCGTGATGATGATTTCCTGCTGATTACAGAACCGGCTTTTTTAACAAAATGCGCATGACAATCGCATTCGATTAATCGTGCAGCCCTAAATTGTATGCAGTTTATTATCGTAATGCTATATAATTGTGCACTAAAATTTTGGCAACCGAAAATATTTCCCCGACACTGCACAAAAAAAAGTTTTGAAGGCCGAAAGGTTCTTAATTATCATGTCTCACATAATGTGTTTTGGCTCATTTTTGTTATTTCAGGAAGAAATATTTCCAGTTCATCGTTATTTAAATGGAGAGTGCGTTTTTGCAGGATCTATTGAACTATTTCGCATATTTTAATAGTTAAATACTATTTCACAATTTTTTTTTTTTTACTTCATCTGCCATATTAATGCAACGTCCATGTCTTAAAGGGGTCATATGATGTTGCTAAAAAGAACATTATTTTGTGTATTTGGTGTAATGAAATGTGTTTATGCGGTTTAAGGTTCAAAAAACACATTATTTTCCACATACTGTACATTATTATTATTATTATTATTATATCAAAGTAGTTTCGCTTTCACAACGAAACACAGTGTCTCCACGGCATAGCGGTGGCGACAACAATACTACAGCGAGAATAAAAGTTACGCCTTCTTTCTTTGCGTGAACATTTGGGCGGCGTTATGCAAATATTCCCACATCGTGACGTAGACATGTGGGGGGGTGTTAGAACGAGCCGTTTTAGGTAGGCGTGGCTGACTCTTAACTTTTATAAAGAATATCTCTTTGGATTTGAGACTTTAGTCTTTGCAACTTTACAGATCTTCTTTATGCACCAAGAGCTTGTAACACTTCAAAGAGAAAGGAAAAATTGAAATCGCATCATATGACCCCTTTAAGTTCAAGATGCAATAGCTTGTTTTATTTTTTCAAAGCACTTTTTTCTTTTTAGTTATTGTCTTACTTGTTGGCAAGTTCTCACGTGAAATGGAAAAGCATTTGCCATGTAATGATATTATAATAATCTTAATTCAACAAGTCTTGGTGCCATATTTTAAACTGTAAATAATCTGTTATTTAGAGCGGTTTATCAGATTAAATGCTTCTAAAACATCAGATGACAGCTCTGTCTCAAGAGATTTGTTCAATTCCAAAAGTTTGTTTTACAGCAGATTTATAGGATTAAAAGAGCATTTTGATGCCACCTGCTTCTGAGCTCTCTGGGAACCCTTTCTCCCTTCTGTTGCATTATGGGTTTTGGGGGTAATAATGCACAGTATGTGGAAAATAATGTGTTTTTTGAACCTTAAACCGCATAAACACATTTCATTACACCAAATACACAAAATAATGTTCTTTTTAGCAGCATCATATGACCCCTTTAAGGGGAGACTTGGAGTTAATTATCCAATTGTTAGATAAAATTAATTTGGGTTCTGTCACTTCCCCGCCCAGGGAATCATGTGGCAGATTCCGTGCTTGTTCCGAACACACAGGGGAATGTTCAGAAATTGAGATTTAATCTCAATTGTCTGAAGGTCTGTTTGATTTTGGCTAAACTCCATTTGATTCCAAGCAGCTGACTCACCCAGCCTCTCTCTCTCACACACACAGGGTGCCAGTGGAAAACCAGGCGGCCGCATATGGACTGTCTCTTGATATCATTCACTGGCCGTGTAATCTTATTATGCTAAATCCTTAATCCTCACCTATGCTGGATGCCCACAACAGTGACAGTGCTGGTGATTGGACGACTAGACGTAGTTGGGGATGCTGTGTTCTCCCCCACACATTCTGCCAAGCTGGTCTGCATTACAGACAGTCTCTTGAGGTCAGGGCGAGAACGAGAGAGAGCCAATCAGTTTGAAGGAAATTGATGGATA